ATCCTACAGACAAAGGTGATGTCTCCCAGCCTGTTGTGAAACATCTCCTGCCCTGTGACCTCCAGAGGTCATCACCAGCCTCACCTCCAAAGGCACCCACAATTAGACCTCAACTAGGCCAACAGGGAAGTATTTAAGGGAGAAAGTCCCTCATCACATATCTAGCACCCTGGGCATATGGGGGCTCCAGAGCTGTATTTACCCGGAAGTAATGTCATCATATCCAGGTTGTTGGAGTGACGCTCTGGTATTCCGGTAAAAACTCTATAGCGGAAGCCAAATTTACCAGAGTTTCTGCCCAAATACCCCAATGTCCCAGAAGTGATGATGTCACTTTCAGATCATGTGGTTGGTGAGGTGACATAAACACATAGCTGCACATCGGATGGGCCTCCTTGCTGCTCTCGGTAAGTCCTCCCCATCCCCTGCTGGTTGCCAGGTCCCTCCTGGCAACCCTACCATCACCCATGCTCAGAAAAGGCACAGCAGCTTGTGGAAGCTACCAATAAAGTGGGGTCACATCATGTCTATGGCTGCCAACTCCAGCTTGGTAAATTCCTGGAGATTTGAAGATGGTCCTTGGAGAGGGCAGAGTCTGTGGAGAAGAAGGAACTCGGTGGGGTTGTGATGCCATAGATAGTCCATTCTCTGAAGCTGCCCTTTCCTCCAGGGGAAATTTTTTCTGCAATCTGGAGATCAGTTGTGACTCAGGGAGAAGTTTAGGCCCTACCTGGAGGTGGCAACCATAAGTGTGTTCCACCTGGTGGGGGGGGGATCTCCATATGGAAACAGCCCGGGTAAAAACCAGAAGTTTGAAATGGCAATTAATAAAGATATTATTTAGCGAGTAAAAATATTATATAACTCCTCTCCACAGAAATGTGCATAATGCAGTTCAAAATAGAGTGAAATAATATTAAGAAACAAAAATTGCAATCGCATTAACAGCCAACAAGAATGTATAGTGAGCTGAAGCGAAAAGCAACTATATAAAATAGCTAAACCACCAGCAGCAACTTAAGGATTGGCTCTAGCTGTTTTTCTGTGGTTTTAGCGGAATTTACTGTTTAACTGCTGTTACTGTTCTTAAGATCTGTGCTGGAGACCACTTGGAAACCTTTTATTAAAAATTGTTTGATAACAATTATGTTAGACCATTTTTCAGGCATCCAGGTCCCAAGCTGTATAAGGCTTGATAGCAGCGGTCTCCATCAACCATGTTGAGCCTCCAGACACTTTTGGAATTTTGAGAAAGTATAACTGGTGGAATACCATAAAATGGCATCCATTGGAGGGCAGTCACAAAACAGCTACCAGGGATGTATTTGTCTTGGAAAGTCTATTGCTGTCTTCTGACACTGGGTGAAGACTTTGTTTCGGCTGGGATTCCCTCAGTGATCCCTCCTTCCTCACCAATGTTTTTACCTTTTGTACTAATTGTTTTGTTTTTACTTGGTTTTAATGATGTATTTGTGTGTTGGTTTTAATAGCTTTAAAGAAAATATGTTAATTTGTATGTTGTTAGCCGCTTGGTGGCCCTATGGGGGCAGAAAGGCAGGGTACAAATATTGTAAATAAATAAGCACAGTAATTCCCTTTCTTTCTCTAACCCCTTTTCCCCCTTCTTTCTAAACATGCTACACTCCTCCGTTTTGTAGATCTCTGGCAGACAACCAGTTTTATTGTTAAAGGCAACTGCGCTGCATACTTAAGCCCCCTTCCGTCATACAGTTGCCATTCCCCACTTTGGGGGCAGGGGACTGACTGGTTTTGTGAGCTTCTGCCCACCGCCAGCCAGTTGGCCGGCGGAAGGAAATCCCTCCCCCTCAACAGCAACAACAAGCAACATGCCTACGTCACCCGGAAGTGAAACATGTGGGTGACATGGGGGGGGGGGGCTCTGGTTTGTGGGCAAAACTC